ATAGGAAATAAACAAATTTATTTTTTATATTTTAAATAAATAAAAATTTAAATAAAATAAATTATATTTAAAAAAATTCATAAAATATTTAAGACACACCTTCCGGACACACGTGTCCAATTTGTATTTAATCGTTTTTTAATAAGACACATTTCTGCGTGTTCGACATGTGTCATAGCTTAGAACTTAGTTGCAGCCTAAAATAAAGCACTCACTTAGTTGTTGCTTAATTGGATTGTCTTAAGGAGGTTTTGTCGACATCTCTATTGGAACCATTAGCCTAGGGAGATCACATCGACCTGTATATTGGATTGATTTGTCGTTGAAATAGTTCCAAGGGAAAGGGCCTTTGGGATATGTCAACCTTTTTTCTTTATCATCTCTGTAGCAAAAGTAAAGCTCATCATTTTTTATTGTTGATTTTCATGATGATCTCATTGGAAAATTGAAAAAAAAAAATTGGTTCATATTATTAAAGATGCTAGTTTAAAGTCAACCATAAAAGAGAACATAAATAACGAGAGAAGTTGGAGGTCCTTTTGATAAAGACAACTTAGCAAAGGGAAAAGATTAAGAGGGATGTAAGAGTCTGGCTTAACTAGTTCAGTTGAACTAGCCCTAGCTAAAACCGGGCACAGCAGCAGGACGAGCAGGCGAAGTCCAGCGAACGAAGCGAGCAGGCCGAGCATGGGCGCGAGAGCTACTGACGGGATCAAATCGTGTAGATATGTGAGGAAATGCGTGCGGGAGCGAAAAGTACCGACTCCTCACATGAGATAACTTCGTTTCGTTTCATCCAGTTCGACAAATGAGCGAAAGAAACTAAGAATGCATCAACTAAGAGGAAGAAGAAGGAGAAGGAAGGAAATAGAGAGAAAGAGGGAGGAAGGGAGACCGAGAGAGTGATAGCGGAAGCAAGGGAAAAGGTTTGTGCGAACGGTGCGCAAGGGATCAAGCGGCAAGCAGGCACGGTCTGGAAAAGTGAATTATTATTATTATTTTTATAAATTAGTAAATGATGTTTCGGGAAATTTAATCTAAAATTATATAGTTTGAAAATGATTATATTAAACATTTTAATAATAAATGGAAGATATACAAAGGGATGGAGAGCATATATTCAAATGAAATTTTATCCATAGATTAAGTTATGTTAATTTAATTATTTATAGAAAAAATGAGTATTAAATTTATGCTATATAAAGAAATACTAGTAAGTTATTTAAAGACATGATCTTCATGATTCATGTAAGGGAACATTCGGAGCTTGGGAAGACTCTAAAGTGTCACACATGGAAGTAATGTTTGTTGGTTAGATGCTCTAACAAACAAAGTAGGAGGGCTTGAGAGTTTGGTTTCAAGCTCAAGAATGTTGAAAAGACAAAATCAACAAATTTATGCACCTACAAACTCGCTGTTTGGAAGGTTTTGGAGGCTTCCAACTCGCTACAAACTCGCTGGAGTTGAAGGAGAAAGGGGGAGAAGCCACTGACTTTACTGATTTTTTAGAAAGGAGGCAAATGGAGGGCTTAACTTTTGATTTTCTTCTTTGGAATGAGGAAAAGATCTCAAACCCTTAAACCCCCTTTCTCCCTTTGCCGCCTGGAGGAGTCGCACGAAGGGGGCATTCGTTGGACACGGTAGAGCCGCACGCAAACGCCTAGGTTCTGCCTGGTGGAGTCGCGCGGAGGGGGAGATTCGAATGGTGGAGTCGCACGAAGGGGAAAAATCGCCTCTCCTCACTCTCTCCCACTCTCTCTGGCTCTATGGATCGGGGCGGACCGAACGTAAACAACAATGGAGCTGAATGGCTCCCCCCCCACTCCCTCTCACTCTCTTAGAGGCGCACGCAAAGGGGCTGACTTGCCGCCCAAGTGTATCCAATCCGGCTCCCTCATTTCGCAAAACAAAGGATATACCACTTGAGTAGATTTCCTTATGGATTTGACACAAAGTTGGGCAGGATTTGAGATAAAATCTCAGCCATATATCGGAATTTTGATTTTGAGACTCAATCTAGCCCAAATTGATTGATTTGGGCTGAAATTGAGTTCAAATCGAACTTGACTTGGATCGATTTGAGTCGATTTGGGTCCGATAGAGTTAATTTCATGAAATTAAACTCAAATCGGCGTCGAATTGGGCTCGGCGGCGCTCGACGTGGTTTGATTGGTTTTGATTTGATTCTAATTAAATTAAATCAAATTTAATTCGATAAAAACACATTTAATTTAATCAAATCGGGGTCTAATTTGAGTCAATTTTGCCTCGACTACAATCAATTGAGTTGATCGAGCGCGATTGAGCTTAGTTGGGCTCGATCGGGGTCGGGTCGATATGAAAATATGCGTCAACACTCACTCACTGAATTTAAAGATCAGTTTACCCTCTATTCTATCTTACTGAATTTTTGCCGAAGTGACTTTTAAATTTACAAAATTTATTGTATCAACTTTTCTACTTTATTTTCTTAAATTCAATTATCACTTCATCAATCAATCACTGTACTTTCTCTATGGGCTTTCTAACCATTTACTTGAATCACTAACTATCGTAACTGTAGGTTGGACTAAGGAATGATGAGAGAATTTTTTTATAGATTTGGAAATCTCATGCCACTTTATATGCTTGGTTGTAAATTTATACAATCACCGCAATTATGATACAAGAAAGATTTGAAATTGTATCTCTTTGGATATATACTTTTTAAGAAGTTTGATGTAGAAAATCTAATTTCATTTTGAAAATATTTTCTTTTAGAAAATTCAGTTTAAAGACATTTTTTTCCTTGTATTGTCATCACTCAACCCAAAGAAAGTTGAAATGGGTGAGGTATCCAATGCAGAGAATTATTTTTGTAAATGTGTTGGCCAATATTTGAGATGAATTATGAAACCACTATTTAGATGAAAAGAGAAAATTTCACCAAAGTTGCTGGAAATCCGATGGTAGAATTTTGTTATCTTCATCGGATTGAAACATTTTATGATCAAGTTTAACATAAAGAAAATGTTATCCCGGGGATAAAAATAATAAAATAATATTTTTCTATGGACTTAATAATTAAATTTATTTTTTAATATTTTACTAGAGATTTTCTCCTATCCAATATATTTGATTGGGTAGGTTTTATTTTCTTGGGTGATTGGGTAGGTTTTATTTTCTGGGGTACAAGTATTCTAGAGGGGCAAACCCCTATAATTAATTATATCCCAAGGATTTATTCTTTAGAAATTTTTTTGATCAAAATAGTGGCTTATATTATTTCATCAAAATATTGGCTAATATTTTATATGATTTTTCTCTTAGAAATTCTTATCAAGGATTTGATTTTGAGAATTTAAATGGAGATTGGATCAAATTAAAATTAATTTTTTGAAATGGAAGTCAAAAGAGGTAGAAGTATTTGATTATGAGAAATTCTGAGATACTCAAACTGTCTTATATTGATCTTTACATTTTAAAATTAAATTTAGGTTGAAGTTGATCAATTTAATTTAGACAGTTGAGGCTTAAATTCCAACAACATGAGTGGAGGGAAATGCTCAAAAAGTTGAGGACTTATGATGTAACTGAAAAAAAAATATAGGCCTCGAACCATAATCTAAGGTGAGAATTAACAAGAGATAGTAACTATGACCTAAATTTAGTGGAATGCAAGGGATTTATGAACTTGAAACCCCACCTATAGTTAAGTCAGAGTGGCTATGGACTTACAATCCTGCCTGAAAAATACTATCAGTTAAGACAGCAAAGCATTTTTAAAATCATCCATGTCTGGTCTCAATACATGCGCAAGATAGGTAAGGCTATTTTTTACTTAAGAGGATATGATTCACAGTTTGACCATTTAAGCTAAGACGCCTGGCCATGTAGGCATGTAAATGCTAACTCACAATGCAATTTTTTTATCAAGTATTTAATGTGATGGTTTTTACATGCGACTCACTAGGTCATAACATGATCTTTTTTTATAAATTATCTTATTTTGTTTAAATCATGTAATTTTGTTAAAAAAAAAGTGTTATTCTATGATTGATTTTCTTAGATTGTGATGCATCTGGGATTTCATAGGGCAAACCGTAAACCCTAAATTTTTAATTGCTTAAAAACTAAGTTTAATCTTTAGAGCCTACCACATAAAATATGTCCAGGCCATCTCCCCAAGCAAAACAAGAGAAGAAAAAAAAAACATGTATTTTTAATAAACGCTCAATAAACAATCAATCAAATATATAAAAATTCAATCATAGAATAACATAAGAGTCCAATTATTACAACAAAAAAATGTAGTAAAATGGTAGTTGAGTTATCTATCTTATACAACCTAGTTATAATTTATAGATTCTATTAATTATATTTGAAAAGCCAAAAAGGCTCAAACCTGCAAATCAAACATTACAAAGCATATGTAATATAAAAAAAGCATCATAGATTTGCCTAGTACTTAAAGTGCCTAGTCAACTTCTACCATTTTGGCCATTGTCTCTTTGGGGCTTCTAAGTAGCATTTGCAAGCAAACAATATTATGTGATAATAATTTAGTACTTGCCCCCTTTTGGGCACAATAAATAACAAAGAACAACACAATATTTAATATTGTTTGAAAATCTATCATATTAAACAAGCTTTTCGTGTTGTGTGCAGAAAGATGTATGAATACTTAAATATTTTGATGAGTTATTTTTACATTTTCTACCTTACACACAACTTCAACAATGAAGTTGATGGTGAAGTGAAGAGTTTGTGGCAATGTGAGCAATCTCTTTCTTTTCCTTGCCTTTTTTGTGTGTGTTCACTTTCTATCCTTGTCTCCACTTATTTTTTAGATCCATCCCTCTTCTTTCACACTCGGTTTTTCTTACGAGTATTTGAAAATTTGGGTGAGCAATTACTTTTCTTGTATTTATCTCCTCAAGCAGTAAAGGGGAATTCTTTTCTTTCAAGAGAATAGTTCTTTTAAAGTTCTATATCCCACTTTATTTGGGTTCCTTTTACAGATCCATCAAACAAAAATGATGATGATGAATGTGGAAATCAAGATGATCCATGTGTGAGGCTGAAGCGTGATTGTGTTGCTTTGCTAGCAGCTTTCAAGTTGAAAGATCCTTCTAAACATGTGCTTGTTGTTGCAAATACGCACATCTACTGGTAACCGAATTAATTTTACTCTCAAATTGTCTAATATTCTTTCTTCGAGCATTCATGACAGTCGGAGGTTTGTGCTAAGTTGGATTGATAAGGTGCAAATATGTTTTATATTCTAAGTTGGAATTATAAGGTGCAAGTATGCTTTATGTTGTTTTAAGTGTGTGTAATAAATATATATTTTAATCAAATTAAACAGAATAGATCCAAGATAAACAACATTTTTAAATTTTAAACTGAACTGCTAATAATAAGCACCTTTTATTTCTTCGAGTATTCATGCACCTATTGTTTTCTTCTTTCTCACTGATTTGGTTTCAATTTTGAAGGCCGGTTCAATTAGGTTTCATCCAAAATTTCAATCATTTTTTAACCATACAGAATTGTGCCCTCTCTGACCATGATGATTCAATTTCATAAAACAAACAAAGCTTATATTTCGTATTGATTCAAAAATAAAGGCAAAATTAGAAGACCATTCTTTTCTTTTTCAATATTTGTTATGAATGCTAAACAAAGGGAAAAAAGTGCAACCAACTATGTTGATGTTGTTCTACAACTAAAGAATAATTGGTGATTTAATTTAGTTAACTTTTTATGAGTGTTTGGCATTTAATGAAGCATTGATAAAAAGAATGGACTACTTATAATGCTTCTTTAAAAAATAGTAATTTAATATAGTGTTCTCTCTCTCTATATATATTATTCAATACATCTAAATAAAAACAGCACTTCCCAATACAATCTTTGTCACCCCGTCGTAGCAGCACCGGTCCCGTCTCCTTTATTACTGGTCCCATCGCCCTTCTCATGCCATCGGTTGCTCTCACGCTCCCTCCCTCTGCCTCGATTTCCCTCTGCCTCTCACTCCTATAGAAATTTTTGAAGCCATCAGCAACCAAGTTGCGAGAAATTCACAGAAGCTCATAGCTTTGGAAGTAATCCTCAAGCATGTGTAGCGTGCCAGTTCGGCGTGAGGAACAACCTGTGTGCTTATTAATTACTTGGTGTCAAAAGGCATATATTGTGATTTTTTTTCGAAAGCATTTGCGCAACATGCAGCTAGACAGACATATACCACATGTTTAGTTATTGTTTAGAAAGTTATTAGTCGTTATTTTTTTTTTATTTTGAATGATGCTACACTCTAAATAAACCTACATTCTCGATTTGTGTGGATAATATCAGCATGTGTGCTTACTTTTCCTTTTTGTATAGGCTATGTGGGTAGCCACATAAAAAAATGCATATGGGTTTATAAATTCCAAAATATTTTGATTCTATGGGGGGATGTTACATTACTCCTGAATTTTTATTTGTATTGTCCAATGGATGAACTTTGTGAAAGGCCAAGCATTTGTAGGCATAAAAGCCATGAAGACTTCAATAAAATTTTTTTCTATTCATTCCTAACTTTTATTCATTCTAGTGGTGTTTAACCTATATTACCCTTCCCTTTATTTTCACATCAATAATTTTATCATTTCAATCACATTTTTCTAGTTAACTCGAAATTGCAAAAAACATAAGTTTTAAGAGAAGGATTTAACCTTGGGCCTCTTACATGAGCCACAAAACACCAATCAAATGGAAAACAATTACTTTCTATTAGTGTTATGTCAAATGTATATAATATACATTAATTATTAGCTGAATCGAATAGAATCTCGAACAATCAACTATAGACTAGAAATAGTTTGCGAGTTCCTTGGCTTGAAATTCGAACCAAACCTGTTAAACTCAATTTGAACTTGACCTGCAAGTCGAGCAATTTTTAAGAATGTTGCAAAGTATGTGTTTGGAGTATCAAAAGAAAAATTTCCTAATGCTAAAAATAGTTGGGATGGAATCAAAATATATAAGAAAGTATCAAAATAAGATGCTTTGTTATAAAAACTAGTTTAGATGTAAAAGTTCAGAAAATTGTGAAATATATAAAGGGGCCCGTAAGGAGTCTAAAAAAGTAATATGCGATACAAAAAATTTATATAATAATTTATATATTAATGAGGGAGAAAGATATATGTATAAGTTAGCCAAATAATAGGAGAAGTAAAAATCTAATTCAAGTGAACTGCATTAAGGATGAAAATAAAAAAAAAATTATGCTTTTATTTGAAAAGGATATTCAACATCAGTCGATGGGATATTTCTATAAGATTTTAAATGAAAACTGTGAGAATATAATTGACTTTAGTGATCTTAGCATCCTAAATAAAAATAGAAATTTTAGTTTTTATCGTCGTATTAAAAAAAATCAATGTTAGAGAGGCTTTGAAGAAAATGAAGTGTGGAAAAATAATTAGACTTGATGATATTCCAATAGATGTGTGGAATGCTTAGGAGATGAAGAAATTTCTTGGCTTACTAATCTTTTTACTATTATTTTGAAGACTAAAAAGATACTAAATGAATGGAGCATTGTGCTGGTTCCTATTTTTGAGAATAAAGGTGATACACAAAAGTGTGTGACTTATAGAGGAAGTTAATGTGTCATCATTAAAATTGTGGGAGAGAGTTATTGAGTATTGGTTATGATATGATACTAATATTTCTCAAAATCAATTTAGATTCATGCCAGATAGGTCTACTATGGAAGCTATACATTTATTGAGAGGTGTGATGGAGAAGTATAGAGAGAATAAGGTGGATCTATATATGATATTTATTGATTTAGAGAAAGCATATGATAAAGTTCTAAGAGAAGTGCTCTGGAGAGTTCTAGTAAAGAAAAGAGTTAATAATATTTATATTTAAGTCATTAAGGATATGTATGCAGGAGTGTTGACCTCTAACTGCCGACCACCCACGACCCTACCTACCGACTCACACACGATTGCACGACCTCAAACCTACACACACTCACACGACACAAAACCCCCTCCCACGGCAAAATAAAAGACAAGCATTCAAATAGCTGGAGATTTTGTAAACTTACCTCAGGCATACGAAGCCCGAGCTATCGTGCCCAAGCAACACCAGTCGCCGCCTCCCTTTGCTCCTTATCTCGGCGAATACCTCTTCATGTTGCTCTTCACCGCCGACTCTACAACCCCCAACGCCGAGCCACACTGCTGACTCCAACCTTCGATCCAACCACATTGACTGTCGAGCCCTAGCCGACTTCCACCTCTACACGTCAAGCCCGACCTCTAGCCACACTGGCCGTCATGCCCTAACTGAACTCGTTGACTCCTCCGGCCGAACCAGGCCGACCCGACTCTGGCTTGCCGCCGTGCGTGACTCCCATCCGTCCCCGTCTCCGTCCTGACTCTCCCATCTCTCCATTTCTCTATTATATATATAATAGAATGAAATAAAAAATAAAAGATAAGGGATTTTAAAATAGGCACCGTAGCAGGTGAAGAATTGAAGGAAGTCCTGGGTTTGATTCGGTCCCCCGAAGCCCTTGGCCGATGATCTGATCCGATCGAGTGGATTGAACACTATTTTCGGGGTCGATTCTCTACCCCAAACTTCTCTCTTTTGATTTGATCCGGTCGATTGAGCCAAAAGAACAAGTGTCCTACCCAACCTTCCCTCGAAGGGAAGGGGTGCCGAAAGGTTGCCAAATTTACAAGGGGAATAAAAAATATTTTTAATTTTAAATTAAATATCTTAATTATCAAATCGCGCATGCAATTAGAAGACTCGAAGACCTATAATGGGGTCGATTTGCTCCCCCAAACTCCTCGCTGTTAATTTGATCAAGTCGAGTCGAACCAAAAGGGCAAGTGCTCTTTCCAACCTCCCCTCACTGGGAGGGGATGCTAGGAGGCTGCTGAAATTTTAATTGAACAAAATTGGACCCCCACACTATCAATTTGTCACTTTAATTAATTGTATATAATTTTAATTAAATTTAGAAAAAATGAAATGATGAGAACTACGCTTAAAAGAACATGTGTAAACTGGAATCCAATACACATATATTTCAAATCACTTTGAAATTTCACACATGTAATCTCTTTTCGGGCGGAGTTATAATCCTTCTATCGTAGAGGATTACTCATCCAAGGATTCAAATACTCTATAATTAAACCAACCATTTTTGAAAATTACAATCTCTTCCATGTCAAAAGACAACACTTTCAAATGTAGACCCATTCTTCTTAGTCATATACATATATTCATCCTTGCATTAGATATACTCTTATGAGTCAAAGGATTAAGTTTCCAAAAACATATAGGTTTGATGCATCCCTTAGTCAAATTGAAATCATACATTTTCACACATGTGGTGTGACACAAGATGCTTCAAAAGTTATTGCAATAGACCTTAAACATTCAAAGGATTATTGTATGCAAGGGGTAGTATATCTAGTCATGGAAAAGTTTAAATAGAATTTGGAAAATTGCGAAGCAATGATACTAACAAGATATATGACTTTGGGAAGCAAAGGTTGGGTGGGCTATTCAATGTTGATAGTGCAAAATTCCTAATATCTATATAAATGATCGCTTTTGTAAGTCAGAGTCCCCTAAGAAAGATTTGATATATTATGTAAGAATTGTGAATTCTTATATTAACATAGTAATCATAAGGCACATGCATGTAGATCATTTAAGTATAAAATGCGAAATACATTATGCATGTGTATAAGCATTATTCAATGTGTTATATTCGTTACAGAAATACACTAAAATATTTTAGCCTGCATGTGTTCCAGTCAACGTGTTAAAGTTACAAACACAAATGTCCGAGAATGCTTCGCGGGGTTAAATGCTCACTAATATAACAGTTTTTGGCAAATTTAGTACCTTGGCACATCTTAACATTCCTCCACAACTTAATAACTTAATTACTATTAGTTTCATGTCTAAACACAAGAAATCATTTATGACCTTTTTCATTCATTTTCCCTCTAATGTAATAATAGGTTTTTCTTGATATAAAGTATTTAATAGCCTTCTCTAGTTCATTTGACTATCTTATAAATAAATATTAAGTGAAAATATTCATTGGACTTTTAAGAGCTACCATGCATCAATCTTAAGGGGCAACCTAGAGTCAGACACCAACCATAGCTAATTTCATTTTAACCATGAATTAAAGGAACTTAGGGTTCTTTTCATAAATTCAGGCTTGCAAGCAAACTGAAAATAATTTTCCTTCTAAACACTCTGAGATTCCATATATCTCTTTGTAAAATCCTAGCATGAGTTTTTATTTAAATCAATTTTCTTTCAAGGAGAAAAGTGAAACTAGATTAGGTTTAAGTTTACCTTAATTTCTACCCGGAGGAAGAAGAAATATGCTTCCAACTCCTCCATGCTCGCAACTTGCATTACTGCCTTGCTTTGTATCCTCTCATGCTTAGAGCTTGTGGCATTCAATATCTTCCATGCCCTCTCACTCTCTTGTGTGTTCTCGCTCTTGATCTCACTCTCATTGCCCCTTTCTCTCCCTCTCCTACTTTTGATCTACCCCTTCTCTTGCCTATTAAAATGCGTGAGGGAAGAGTTGGTTCTATTCTTTCTCCTTTCTTTTTAATATATTTTTTAGTTTTAACCTAATACTCACTATAATATATTATGAGAAATATTAAATCATAAAAGTAGAAATGTTCTATTAACAACACTCGATAAATAATTACATTATTTGTCATTTATTAATTATACTTCAATTAATTTGAGCAATTAGTGCATTTTAAATTAATTGAGCTTGACTACTCAAAATCTTTAATATTAAAATCTAATTAAATAAATATATTTTTGGTCTTTATAAGGCAAGTATTTTGTATTTGATTTTAGATAAATCTATTCTCCCAAAATAAACCTAAACCCTAAAATGCCTTTTCTCAATTTGTGTTGACCGCAACATCATGCTTGTTTGCTTCCCCTTTTTTATAGGCCATCTGAGCTGCCACATAAACGAATGCATAAGGTTCCATAAAATCCAAAGCTTTTGGGATTCTATTGGGGAGCTAGCATTACTCTTCAATTTTTATTCGTAGTTGTCTAATGGTTGATTTTTATGAAAGGCCAAGCATGTATATAGCATTATAGCCCATAGAGAAATCATGAAGATTTCAATGAAATTTCTCTCCTATTTATTTCTAACTTTTTTCCCTACTCGTTGTGCTCACCCGAACATTAACGTTTCCTTCATTTTTACACCAGGAATTTTATCATTTCTATGGCATTTTTGTGGGAACAACAGTAGGTGCTTCTTTTGTTGCATCTTCAAACTTAGCATGAAAATATTTCTATGTTTTGTTCTTTTATGTTGTTATTCATCTCTCTCTCTCTCTCTCTCTCTCTCTCTCTCTCTCTCATCATTTAACCTTATTCAGTTATTCTCTGCAAAAGAATCTTAAATTAGAAAATAAATTCATTTGCAGGGATCCTGCATGGGTTGATGTGAAGCTTGCTCAGGTGAAGTATCTTCTATCAAGACTATCTCGGTTCAAGGACGTCATTGCCAATAAATTTAGCTGCACGCCTTCCGTGATTGTTGCTGGTGATTTTAATTCAACTCCTGGGGATGAGGTTTATTCACTTCTACTCTCATTAATATATTTATCAAACAATATCTTATGAAGTGGTGAGTGGATACCCGATTTGCGTGTGGAGGTGGGCTTTCCGCCCTTACAGTAATCCATTGACGACATTGAGTGGCACTTTAGTATATTGTATTTGCTGCTAAGTCTGTTATTATTCTCTTAGTAAACGTGGTTGCCAGATACTTGTGATTCATTAATCATCCATTATAACTGGTCATCTTTTGCTTTATTTAATGGTTATTATCGTTTTTATGGAATTGATTGGTCTGATCAATGTTTTAAATTTAGGTATATGAATATATCACATCAACAGCAGCTAATGTTGACAATTCAGCACATGATATGCGGTTTTATAGTCTTTACAGAACAAATGGAGGAGAGCCACTGTTTACAAATTGCACGCCTGATTTCACAGGAACACTGGACTACATATTCCTTTCGGATACTTGTCACCTGAAAGCTGTTAGCTTACTCAAACTCCCCCATGCTGATTCAACTGATATAGTTGGGGGTCTTCCCAATCACTATCACCCAAGTGATCACTTACCCATTGGTGGTGAATTTGAATTGCTTAGTGCTGCCAGTTCCTCTGTGGCGGATCACCTAAATGATGTTGAGATAAGTCTTGTTGAACTGAAACTCCAGCACTTGTAAAGCCAATGTAAGTAAGCAGGAGAGAGAAATCAATGGATGGTCATACAAAATTTTATAACTATAATCAGTAGAGATAGAATTACTGATTGTAGTTATTTAATTTTGTATGAAGGCTTGTTGTTGTTATTTAATTTTATATAACCGTATACAATAGAGAAAAATGATTCATGTAGCCGATCTTATGTAGCGGGATAAAGACTTGTTGTTGTTATTGTTGTAAGTAATTTTATCTCCTTGACGTCCATGTTCAGTTAAGAAGTATTATTTACAGAGTAGGCTCATGTTCAGTTAAGAAGTATTATTTACAGAGTAGCAGCCTGGACAATTTTTGCAGCATATTTATGTCAAAAGGGAAGATAAGCCAGACTAATGCTAGCTGCGCCTACCTGAAAATATAAGCATTAATCCCATTTAAACCTATTTTAAGGCTTGAGTCATACTTTGTCTATGCATGAAGGAGCAACATACTTGACTCCTGGGGATCTGATAGAGTCTGATAAATTAAATCACCTCATTGTGTAGAAGCTTAGTTTGTCTTTTTACCCTTCTTCATCTATTCGACAATTTTCTCAAAACTCTTCCTTTCCTTTAATGCAAGCAGCAAGTATTCTTGAAGCTTCTTATTTTCATTGGCAAGGTTCTCCGACTGCCCCTTCGTCCCACGAAGCTGTTCCTCAAGCTATTCACTAGTAATATTTATCTTTGTTCAGCAATGTATCAAAAGCCTTGTTCTTTTCTGGGCAAGAATCATAACTAAAACAAAATAAATATCTTAAAAAAAAATTTAAGAAAATGATGGACTTGCAAATGATTGTCCACGCTAGACACTCCATTAAAATTTGCAGTTTTCTTAAGAAGACAGGACCTGTACATTAAATATGAAAATATGATGGGTGGATTTGTATATTATTAGGTGTTATTGTGCATTAATGAGTATTACTATGTATTAATGTATATTAATATGTATTAGAGCAATAAATTTTTATTACAAGAAAAAAAAAGTATTAATGAATTTATATAATGCTATTTATTAGAGCAATAAAGTATTATTACAGAAAAAAAAAATAATAATAATAATAATAAACAGACGGAGCAAGTAAATTAGTTACAATAGGTCTGGTCTATTCAGAGTTTTAACAGAAGAAGAATATACCCATCGAATGAATGGATGGATCAGTGAGAGTTGGAGATGCAGCGGAATCCAACAGCGTTCCCATTCAAAACCTCAAATCTTAAAGCGCAGGAAAGATGCGTCAACAACTTGAGAGATGCAAAGACTCCAACCCTCCATCTGGTTCTAAGCTGGCCCTCCAATCTGAAGCTGATAATCCCAGCCTTAAGCGACACATCCAATGTCTCTCTCCCAATCTCGTCAAGAGGCACCGCCTCCGACCTCACCACGTAATTGAGCGCTGCCGATCCGTTCTTCTGCACGCTAAAATCCTCCGCCCGCAGCAGGGCAAGCTCGATATCACCATCTTCAAAGCGCAGGGCTAACCCTAGTTCCGAAAACGTGGCGTGCGCTCTCATGTTGGGATTGACAGCCACAAGGGTGAGGGACAATTGAATGCTCAGCAGACCCATTTGGTCGTAGTCGAGGAGATCGAGGTGGGCCGCTGAAACCCATACGTAAGGGCTCTTGGGTTGGTAGACAAGATAGATGGCGAAGACAACGATGCCTGTAAGGATGACAGCCACGGCAAAACCGGCGCAGAGGATGGCAAGCGCCCAAATCAGAGGGTTGGTGCGGTCGCCGCGACGTAGAATCACTTTCGGCGCCATTAATTCCATGTATGAGCGCGCGCGCGCGGCCAATATGCATTAGAAACATTATAATTAATTGTGTTGATTAATTAACAGAGCAAGGAAGGAAGGTATATAGCATCTTCTTTTTTTGGTTTCAATTCCTTACTCCGGAGGGAAGACACGCATCCATTATCGGTCCACTGGCATGTAGCTTCAACACTACAATTCGCATGTAAAATTTGACTTTTTGCATATAGGAGTCGAAACCTCGAGCAAGAGTTATGTGGAACAATGGAGGTCCTCAACTGTAACTCTTCCAAGCACCTTCTTCCTCTCTGGCAATCTTAGAGCTCATAAAGCTACATAGTTCATACCAACAGTCTTGAATCAGAGTTACTGATGATACTTTTAATTATTTAAATTTGAATGCATCGTTCTCACTACAAACCTTGACCAAACTTTCGAGCAAAATGAATATAATTCGAATAAATTTCAAGCTATATTAGAATCATATTCGAACAGAATTTGAGGACTGTAGGAATAAGATTTGTATGCAGTTCGAACAATGTACAAGTTGGTATCAAACTTTTTGTTTCTGTTTGTCCTTGATATCTTGTATGAAATTGACTCATCAATTTACTCTAATTATATGTGTAGAGAGATATTACACTACTTGGCTCACACATAGAGGTGGATATGTGATGGAGAAAATTATTAGACAATTTATAGCTTTTGATCTAATTGGAAGGGACTTGTATGAAAAAATTTTTTTTTTTTCTTGGGGCACAAATTTTCTACCTTATAATTTTGTTAGACAACATATTATTATCATCGCAAATTGAGTTATTTTGCTTCAATTTTTTCTTTTAAAGAATTTCTTCATAATTATAATTTAAATAAAAATAATTTATAATGATCTATAAATAAACAAGTAAACATAAGAGATGCATTTTAACTGAATATAATTTAGACAGTTTAAGAATCCTTTCGCTAAGGATCTAACTTTTACTCAGAAAATTAGGAAAAATATATCTAAATGGATATTCATGTTCAAATCTAGACAAAAAAATATCAATTTTGTATAGTTCTATATTGAGTTATAGTTATAAAAGAGAGAATTTTTAGACTAGGCACAATTAAAACTTGTATTAAGCATATAAGCATGTTTAAAAATATATATAACTAGACAAAGTCGACTGTTTAAGGGGCGAGTTAGTCCAAGTCACTTAGTCAAAATTGTTCATGTGGCTTGCTAGCCTGGCATAGGGTAAGGGGCAACTTTGGACTTGCTTAAAGCCCCACCTGACACTTCCAGGACATCTACCTCACTTGACTTTTTTGATGGTGCACAGTCGTGATGACACACAAACCCGCGAGCCGGCAACCTGTGTGGGCGTTGTTGTTGGCCTTGTCGTGATGAGGACGAATGGACACCACTTCAACTCATGAGGCGGTGTCGCGGTGAGAACATAAAACTCCAGTTGCTTTTAATGTCGACGTTGAGGAAGTGTCGAATAGCCGAAGAGGGATAGAGCTGCCAACAGCCAAGCGAGCACGGGAGCGAAAGCTGTAAACCTCACGGGAAACCTCACGGGGACCGTAGTGTTTAGTGATTTAAGCGAGCGTAGAAGCCTCAAACACCACTTCAACTCAAATCTTGTGTTTGAGTTCGAGTTTGGGATTCAGCTCGCGAGCCTACTTTGAAGAGCTAATTAGTCAAGTTTTAGCCTACCTTAACTCGACTCGTTAAAATATTAATATAAACGCACTTAAAATATATTAGTATATATGATTTTAAGTAAAATTTTCTTATTTTTCTTTTAATTTGTTCTTTTTTTATTATTTTATTATAATAATTCCTTAAATTTTATTCATTTTCTCAATTTCAAAATAAATGAGTTGGCTCGTGAGCTCGCTCAAACGCATAAAATAAAGCTCAAGCTAGAACTCAATTAATTGATAAAGCTCAAGCTCAAGTTTAAGGCAATGATGATTCAACTTTCAAGTAGGGCTGCAAATGAATAGAGCCGAGTCAAGTAAGTGCTTGTTCATATTTGAGCTTGTTTATTATTAGATTGTTCAAGCTCAATTTGAGCTTTTTTATTTGTGTTCAAGCTTTTAAAAAAATGTATTTAAAGGAAAGCACATCAGTCTGCTATCATCTATAGGTCAATGAATCTCTAGCCAACATCAGTAATAGTCTTCCTTTACTTATTTTCACACATATTATTACAAAAAATAATAGCAACCAGCTATTACTCAATCACATATATATATTCATTCACAATGTTGTCTTAGCAGTATGCTTGTATTAAAATATCAAAATACTTTTATGTGCAAATCGTACAAAACATCATACTTACCATTTTAATAGGTGAAATTACAAAATCAACAGTCAAAATGTCTAGAATAATTAATACTATAACATATAAAAAGTTATGTAATAGAAGTTAACTAAATCCAGAGAAAATCAAATGATCATAATCAAAATATTTGAAAACAAAAATAGGAGCGAAGTCATCTATATCGATCTGAAGAATTTTTGTAAAAGAAAAACCCACTTTTCTCTTTCCTCTCTTCTTCTTCTTCCTTCCCCTTCTCTTCTTTTGCCTTCCACGACAAGTCACAATAGCAAGTGAAGGAGGGATTGAATGAAAAGAAAAGTATATATAAAAACTCATTTTAGCGTCATGACCCAGTGTTATTACGTTGTATGCTGAATCCAGAATTATTGTATAACAAAGCCTTTAACGCTATGATGATGATTTATTTTTCCACACCGATGTGCTCTCAAGCATAACGCCATAGCGCCCACAAACAAAGTGCCGCAACGCTCCAGTTCAAATAGAAATTAATATGTTTTTTAATTTTAAAGTATTTTTCAGATTTTTTTTTCAGGTTGTTACACATAGAGTAAATGTATAGCTCAATAGATCACCATGAAGCCTATAATTGTATTCAATGCAAGGATGACAGATCAATATGTATAGTGTTATGAATTAATCATAAAAGCTAGCCCTCTACGAATTAATATCATTCCATGCTTATTCTTACACCCATATCATTTATGTAAGTATGATCAAGATTGTCATATGTAGGAATCATATATTCATGTTTGTTCTAATTATCATATTTTATAATTATATATGTCAATGTATCAATGCATATATCTCATATATATCATTATCTTAGTCAATATATCAGTACATGTATATCATATGCATCATTATATATACTAAAGAATCGTCATATACATCAAATGTATGTATCATATTCTTATATATTAATGTTATGCATACCATCATCTTCATATAATTCAATATATGATATTCATATCACATTAAGGATATAGTTATCATATATTTGTCAATGATATGTATCATATAAAATCATCATGTATATACATCAATCATGTGCAGGGAAAAACAATTACAGAAATCATGTATTATTATTAGATATGCTCTTTGCTTTATCATAGCAGCTTATATTGTATAAGAAATTAGTATCATATCTATGCATAATTAATTAATATGTATTAAGAGTAAATTAGGATTCTGGCTAATCATATCATATCAATCACATTGTTGTACAATATCATCTACTATATAATATTAGATTATTAGTAATATCATATTGTGTCAGTCTCAAACATAGTCAGGTCGCTTCATATGGGAGTAGTCACTCCAATCATTTACATCACAGATCGATGACTGGAGATCAGGCCAGCGAGCACAAGCGGCTGGAGGTCGGACTCGTCGGCTTCGACGAATGGAAAAGAGGTAAGTCTCCGAACTCTTTGCGTGCGTTTCCTTACGGTCCTGAGTTCTTCTCTGCGTGTATATGTGTGCATGAGTGTGCGTATGAGAGAGGATTTTATGTCGTGAGTATGTCGGTTTGCTGAAACGTAGTGTCCGATCGGGTATGTCGGTGATTTCGGTGGGGAACGATTTTGTCCGATGTGGCAAGCTGCAGTTACAGTCAACAAATCAGTCTCATTATATAGTCAGTTTTTTTTTAATACACAATTTATGATAGATAGATGGATATATCATATTTGTTGTTTATAGACAATATCATGTAAATCATAATAATAAAATTCAATATGTAAGCAACACAAGTTGAGTATATATGAGCAAATGATGTGAGCAGTCAACACAAATAATGATGATGAAGATGTATACAGTGCAATGTGTATGCTAAGATGAGCACATAAAATCGTATGTGAAAATCTTAGAATCTCTCCACAATTGTGCAGCATGTGAAATTGATTCGTTGAGACTATATGAATATCACATAAGATGATTCGATGATATCATATAAATTCCTTTCAAAATCATATGACACATAAATTGGAGCGATAAGATATTCACATATGGTGACACATTCATTCAAGGAATTTCCCAAAAATGCGAACAAGTTCAAGGCTAATGATTTGAGCAGAAACGATTTGCATTATACCGACTTGCTATTTTTTGAATTCGTAGATTTACGTTTGAAATAGGATTTGACACATTCTTATGCTAGCTATCTTTCTTCTTATTAATTGAGATCGAGCTTCCTCTCATCTGGAAATTCTTTTTAAATAAAGTAAATGATTTAGTTTCAGGGCCAAAGATTGCAGTTTTCGAATGAGCAATTGAAATGATTCTGGAGCACCACCTGGGTTGGATACTTTTGATCCAATAATATATATTTGGCTTTTGAGATCTCTTTAATTTTTTGTGTGGAATTTATTATGTATAGATATTAGACATTTTATTTTATTTCTATGAGGGGCTAAAATATTTTAAATGCACTCAAGTAGGGGTATAAATGAGTCGAGTCAAGTTAAAAAATTCGAGCTCGACTCGTCACTCAAATAAGCAGCTCGAACTCGGCTCGAGCATTCTTACTTAGGCTTGAGAGCTCTACTCGATATATTGTCAAGCAATGAGATTTTTTCTTTACGAACGAAGTCACTTTTTTTTTTTTTGAAAAAGTTGTAAAAAGTATTGGTGATGGATTTTTTTTAAAGCTGATATCGTACAATTATCAAATTTTTGTTATTAAATATATTTATTTTTAATAACAGGTTTAAATATTTATTTTATTAGGAAAAATATTTTTAATGTATAATTTATTTAAATTGGCTCGTAAGCTGATGAGTCGAATTTAGTTAAACTCAAACTTAAGCTCGTTTAATATTCGAGCTTGAGCTCAACTCGTGAGTTCGTTATCGAGTCGAGTTTGAGCCGGCTCGTTTTATTTACACGCCTACACTCAAGTTTAAATAGGGTAGTGGTTCCTAGTCTACACGTTGGTGTTTATTTTTGCTCACATCCAATCTTAAAAAAAAATATTCTCTCTCTCACACACAAGTCCTTTAGACATGAGAGACCGAAAACCCAACTCTGTGATTCAATGGATTCAAATATTTAAAGCTTATTAGAGCATAGTTAGAAAAAAATCTTTGCGGGAAAAATGGTACAAACCTTACTCAAACCAAAGTCGATTGCAACAGATTTAAAATAAGTTATTTGCGGTGAAAAATGAGGTTATTTTGATTTGAATGAAATATTCGAAATATTTTTGTAAAAAAATAAAACAGCCGGAATATTTTTTCCGTTTTCGCTATTATAGAGCATAATAGTCAGAATTTTCTTATATGGATATATAACTCAATAGAGGAGAAATTCATTTATATGAAAATGATAAGAAGTTTTAAAAATTTAAGAGATTATTTTTTATAAGATTTCTGCTTAATTTTCATAAATTTGATTTTAATATTTGGTAATCGTTATTAATTTTTGAGAAATTAATTATAAGATTTTTGTGGCCATTTTAACCTTAACTTGCCACCAACCGGTTGTTAAATCCCACCCTCAAAAAGAAATATATATATAAAATTAGAAAGGAGTTTCTAATTTGATCGACACACTTGGCCGACTTCATTTTTCCCTGTGCTGCCATGATGCGTGTGTTTCTGATAAAAATGTTCCAGCAGCAGCTGCTGCCGTGGAGGCCGTGACACCTCCCGAGGAAATACAAGCAGATCTTGATCGTCTTCTCTTTCTCGTCGCCATTCCGCCTCCCCTCCCCTTCCCTGGTTTCCTAATCTCCTGTCGAGCTATTTTTACCGACTACCGAGTGGTCTCGCCCAAGAGAGGAGAATAGTGGCCAAGTCACAGATGCATGTGATTGGCAACGGCGGTGGTGAAGTGCCGAAGGCGCACGCTGCGATGGCGACGGTGCAGGTGATCGCCGCAGGCTACCACGTTATCGCGAAGCAGGCGCTTAACGTGGGAATAAACCAGGTGGTCTTCTGCGTCTTCCGCGATCTACTCGCACTTTCCATCCTCGCTCCAATCGCCTTCATTCGTGACAGGTTTTCTTCTCCTTGATCCCCTTGCGGTCAACTTGTTTGTATTTATTTTTCAGTAATTTAGTAATTATAGGGTGTCCTGATCTCTTTTGGTTATGATTGTTGTTTATGTAAGGAGTCACTGCATAGCATGTTTCTCTGCCCTTTCTTTTTTTTCTTATCATACTATTTATTTGAATATGTGCCTCTCATGTCTGACTCAGTTGTCAACCATGACAGAAAGGTTCGAGCTCCAATAACCTGCCATATTCTTCTATCATTTTTCATTTTAGGATTAACTGGGTATGTTATACATAACACATATCTTCTTTTTTTTATTGAATTGGAATATATGCCGGTATTGTTTTTGTTTTGCAGATGAATAACTTCTAATGAAATTTTTTATTTTTCTAGAATTTTTGGCAACCAGCTTTTGTTTCTTATTGGCCTTAGCTACACAAATCCAACATATGCTGCCGCTATTCAACCTGCAATACCAGTGTTTACATTTATTTTGGCTGCAATCACGGGGTTAGTTATATTGAGGTCAAAGCAGAGCATTATCGGATTCTGAGGCTAATTTCTCCTTCGTTTGATCTTAGTTGTAATTTTGTGTGATTGCAGTACTGAAGCAGTTAACTTGCGAATGAGAGAAGGTCAACTAAAGATTGTAGGCACACTTGTATGCGTGTCAGGGGCTGTTCTGATGGTTTTGTATAGGGGTCCAGCTATATTTGGAAACAGTGGCTTTGACCTGATTGCTCATAATGAAATAAGTGCCAGGTCTCAGCCTGAACCGGCTGGATGGTTAATATTTTCTTTGAATGAATTCGGACTTGAAAAATGGCACATTGGTGTCATTTGTTTAATCGGAAATTGTCTGTGTATGGCTATTTATCTTTCTTTACAGGTACTCGAATTTAGAACGAACCATTTCCTACAACTCGAATGAATTATTTCTTGTTTTGACTTATACAACGCCGAATTATAGCAACTAAAACTTATGCATGTACATATATGGATTTTAGAAGGACAGAGTACGTAGTTCTTACACATCCCATATCACCCATTAAAATATTTGAAAGACTGAGATTTGAAGTAGTTAAAAGTCACTGGAAAAATTGCCTTCTAGATTTGTGTACAAGGAAATTACCTCTATGCAACTTTTATGGGTTGGTTTATATGTAGTTATTTTATATTCCAATTCAAGTGATTTTCAAATTCTGATTTGTTTAATATTTTACATTTGATTTATTTTATTATTCTTTTGTGTTTGTCCTGGCATCAACCCAACAGTTGAACCAATAAACCATAGGATTACTGTTCAATATGGATCTTAAAACTGCCACTTCATAAAATCTTAAAGTTTTTGCATATAGGTCTATAAAAAGTTTATCAAAACTAGTTTAAAATCCATATGGAGATAAGATACATTTGTGCTTTATGCTGATTAAGTATTTGAAATATAAGAACCAAAACTTGTTGTATTAAGTTTAGTTTTCCCCTTTTAGCCATTGTTCCTAAAACTAACAGCTCGTTCTAGGCTTCATTTTCTTTTTCCTTGTGCTGGAAAAAAAAAAAAAACTATGAAGCTAAATGCAGATTCAATAGATTTAGCTGTCATTTTTACAAACTATTGTACGTTCTAGTAAATTTGATCTTTTGGCTAAAGATTTGCTTTGTCTAAAGTTAACACCTAGGAAGCACATGCACTTCCAAATGTCTTCTGTGTCTTTGCCAGGAAGACATGGCTCAGTCGCAATCCAACTTATGTTTGACAGTTCAGAAATTGTATTAAATTTATTTATGTAAAATTAGAATCTGATACTCATCGGACACGGTGAGACATGGGATGGACATTTTTAAAGGCTGAACTCAAAATTGAACTATGCGTGTGAAGGAATTAATACCTATATACTAGTAAGAAGCCTTAGTCTTTTGTGATACATATCACGTCTTCTCTTTGTCAAAGTTGTCTCGCGTCTTTGCCTTAGCATATCGTGATTGTGCACACCTATGCAGAAAGTTCTTGCCCTTGTGCCTATCTAGCCATATCTGCCTCTTCTTCTACTGTAGAACTTGTAGACTTCTCCGAAGCCCTAGCTAGTAACTCGAACTCTAGATGCAATAAGGAAATGTCTACTTTTTTTTTCTTTCTTTTGATTGTTGTGTTAAATATCACTCTTTAAAAAAATGGAGGCATTATTTTGGTTAAGCAATCCATTAATTATATGTTCTTTTTCCTATAAAATAAATCACTCTTTTTGTGCACCACTTCACTTATAATGGTGCTTAGTTGCCATATGGACAAATCTCTCTTTCATTAGTATGTGTGATAAATAACTCTCTCTCAATTACTTTATTATTCAATTACCTTAAAAAAATGATGTAAAATGATTAGGTATTTTCTCATATAGTTGATTTTCTTTATTAATGCCATTGATTGACATTGAGGATGTAATAATAAGCTATATATCTTTATTCTCATTAATTTAGTAGAGAATAGTATGAATTTTACGGTTCATATTGATAATTTGTAAAATATAGAATTTGTCCATAGCATGGTGTTGGGGATGATGAGGAGTAAACACCATAATGATGAAATAAGCAAGAAAATAAAAGCAACGAAAAAGTAAAGGACACCAGGTGGAAAAACCCAAAATAGGAAAAAAAAAAACCACGAAGCCACACCGCACCAAAAAATCCACGTTTGTTTGGCTTAACTAGACGAAACAAAACAGAGTTATCCTACACGAGGAATCGATGCATTTCATCCCTGCACGTGGTTCCTTACTCATTTGCACTATCCGGTCTCGCCAGCTATGCTCGCGTCCACGCTCGGCCTGTTCATTCATTCGCTGTTTGCTCGCCCGTTTATGCATTAGGGCCGATTCAACTGAATTGACAAAGCCAATTCTTACACCTATTGTACGCAAAGGATATGGAAGAAAATAGTCCATATTTCTCCTTAGTCTCTTTTCTTTCCCCTCTTAGAGTCAATGCCTACTCAAAATGTGTCTTTCCCTTGATATGGATCAAGAAGCATATAATCCTATAAGCTAGAATAGGTAGAATAGGCATGTGGTTTGCAATTAAAGGGTCATAAAGAGATCAATTTAATGCTTAAAACCCTTAATTTATGTGCTCAAGGTTCCTTGCGAAGATTTAATTAACTTGTGGGTCCTATGATCCTTCAACACTTCCTTTCAAACTAAATGGCATAAATCTACCATTCCAAATTTGCTTACAATATTTTTGAACATGGGATTGCAGAGTGTTTTGAGATAATATTTGTAAGTTGATCTCTTGTTGGCACATATGAAGTGCATATAAACCCAATTTTCAAAGTTATCTTTTATGAATGTCGATCCATCTCCACATGCTTGATATGATCACATTTTACTGGATTATGAGCAAGCTGATAATAAATTTATTATCATTGTATATTTTCATTGACTATTTTCATTTTAAATTTTATCCATAGAAGCTTGCAGATTGCTTGGCCAATGATTATAAAATCAAATTTAGCACTATATGTTGAAGCAGTTGGTTATTTCTTGTTTCCTCATATTATGAGATTTTCTCATAAAAATGTATAGCATTCAGCTGTGGATCTTCATCCACCTGTGATCCTACATAGTCTACATTAGTAAGTATACCCTTCAATTTATAAAATATTATGCTGTTTATAGAGGATTCATTCATCAAAACTTGATTTAAGGTATCTGAGGATTTTATAAGAAACTTAAAGGTGAAACTTTTTGGATTTGTATATAAATTTACTGATGAGATTCATTGCATATGCAATGTCTAGATGGGTGTGAGATAAATAGATCATTTGTCTAACTAATTTTTGATATGTAGCTTGTCTATTTTTTTCTTCATTTGAGTTTAATTTTTAACCTAACTCAGTTGATATTTCACAAGGTTTGCAACCAGACATTTTTTAAGTAGATATTTAATATATTTTTATTGAGAAGATTTTTTTTTTCTAATTGAGCAACTTATATTCTCAAGAAGTATTTGAGTTTACCCAACTCTTTGATCTCAAATTTTTCAGCAAGCTTTTTTTTTCTAGATTCATTTTCTCCATCATCATCATATGTGACTTATATCATTAATATATATGATGAGAATTAAGTTTTTGTCATATGCAATGCTTTATGAAGAGAGTGTGGTTTTCTTAGCTTTGTTTATAATCAGTTTCATTCATGACTTTTACGAATCCACCAAACTATGCTTTTAGAGTTTGTTTATAACCATATAGTTTTTTTTAATATGCATAATTTATTATTTGTGAAATAACTATCAAATCTTGGTGATAGATTCATATGGACTTCCTTTGCAACATCATCATGTAGGGAATGATTATTTACATCATATTGCGTGAGGGGCTGATGTCGGCAATTGACGCGGTACGCGGAACTGACGCTGGACGCGACGCGACGCTGGCCTCGGGATGCGAGGCGACGCGACGTGGCCGAGGCAGTCGGGCAGGCAGTCGCAGAGCAGCCGGGTTTATGTGTTATTCCGGGTCATTCCTGGGTTTCCGGGTCAACCTGAACCTGACTTGGTTTTTCAAACGGGTCGGTTTTCCAGACCCAAACCCGACCCGCCTGTGGTTCGGGTCGACCCAAACCCAAAATTTTCGGGTTAGGTTCGGGTCGGGTTTTTGGGTCGGGTCCAATATTGACACCCCTATTCTTTGCTACCAATTTCATTTTAGATCATTTCAGGCTTTCATTAGCTCTATATTTTATTGAAAAAAATCATTTACATCTTTCTTTTTCTTCCTTGTAGTGGTCAACAATCTTTTAAGTGTGATTTTTTCCAAATCATTCATCTTTCTCTTATGACATTTTTCAATTATTATTTTCGTGTGCCTCAAATAGAATTTGTGGTATTATGATGGAATTAGAGCTGATATTTGTAAAGAAGGCTTTATGGGTAGGAGAAAATTTTGAAAAAGATGTGTGCTAAGAGATGAGATATAGAGGAGAATGTGTAGTGATTGGTTGATTATTGGTACTTAATAATAATTTTGTGTCTTGAGCTTGTTAGAGATTTTGGCTTGGTTTCTTCCTTTTTGTATAAATTTATAGGGGTATAATGTCTGAATTCTTAGAGTCTATATTATAAGAATATTAAGATAAAAGATAAACATTTCATCAAATTATCTTTGAGTTAAGAATTCTCCCATGAAGATGAGTTTTTTTTTTTCAAAACTTTGCTTTTCATTAAAGGTGTATCTTTTGATGGAATTTTTTAGGGTATGATGATAACTCTTATACTATTTTTTAGTGTAGTAGTATCCAATAAAGACATATTTAAGAGCTCTATGATCAAGTGTATATGTGTGTTATTAGTGGATGTGGACATAGGCAATGCACCCATTTTGAAGAAATTTTTTGAGAGAATGTTATTTGTGGGGAAGAATATAGCTAAATAGTTTATAAGACTTTTAAAGCCAGAAACTCTTAAGGGTATTTATTGATTAGGAATGTGGTAGTTAGGACTGACTCCTGAAGTTTGTTGACCTGTTGTACAAAAAAAAAAGAAAAAGAAAAGAAAAGAAAAATCAAAACCTACTCACTGCTCTCCCACGTCGCGCCTCGCACGACTTCCTCTGTCGTCGCCACTCCTCGCACGACTCGACGTCGCATCCACCACGACGCTGCACGACGAGCTCGCGTCGTTAAAAGGGCAAAGGGATCGAGGCCTTCGGCCTCTCCCCCGCTCCAACTTCCCGAATCCTCTCCAAACTCCCGCTCTCTCTCCGACTCCTCCTTCCCGTCGGATAGGAAGTTACGACACTTTGGTCGGAAGCGAGAACCGGAACTCACCGGCTGTGGAGAGAACCTTCTACCTTTCGCGCGCTCTTCCGGCTCCCTCTGGCTGTCCGACCGTGCTCCTTCGCCGACTCTCCCTTCCAGTCGGACCGGAAGATACGATACTTTGATCGGAAGCAACCAACTGGAGCTCGCTAGCTGCGATCGTAACTTTCTCCCTACCGCGTCCCCCTCCGACTCCTGCGTAGTCCTCCGACGCTGCTCGACTTCGCTCCTCAAACGACTTTCCCTCCTGTTGGATCGGAAGTCGACATTCTGATCGGAAGTAAGAACGGGTGCCCGCTTGCTCTGAAGGAAATTTTCTCCCTTTCGATCGCTCGTCCGGCTCCCTCTAGCTGTCCGACTTCAATCCTAAAGGATCGGAAGTTCCGACATTTTTGATCGGAGGCAACAACGTGAGCCCGCTGGAAGTGAAGGTAACTTCCTTCCTTTCACGCACTTCTTCGGCGGAATCCCATAAATCCGCCAAACAGAGGATTTTTCCTCTGTAATTCGTTTTTTTTTTTATTTTTATTAAATTTATTATTATTTTTATTATAATTCTTATTAATTATATTTAATAATTACTTAATTATTATAATAATTAATTATCTAATTATAATTAGTTATCTGTCAGGTTGGGTCGACTACCTCCTCTGACTAAGTAGATCAGGGACCACGATGGCCCGGGACGACGGAACCATGGGATCTTGATCGGGTCCATCATCCATTCCCTCACCATCCGCTTTAAGTGCAAGATGGTGCAATTTCTATTTAAATATCAAATCTTCCGAACCAAATTCCCAATCCAAAAACTCAATTTTCAATACCTAAACCCTTGCTGCTACTATATGCCAGATAACACGTATTTTCTACGTATCTGATCGATGACTAGCCTTAATCGAAAGTTCTCTCTCGTGATCGGGAGGGGTAATTAACTATAGGGGCTTGCGCCTATAGGAAACCAGAACTCAGATCATAAAGTCCTCTTAAAATGAGGGCGAAATCTCTGGGTAGTGTCTTATCTACAAACCCATCTGCCTTCCAAAATTTACCTCGGAACTTACTCAGTTAAAACTCCCTCGCCATATAAAAAAAAAAAAGGAAATCGCGCGGCAGGGCGGCCGGGGCCGAATTTTCGGAGCCCACAAAGTATCTTTTTGAAACTTGATTATCAAAAGAAGAATCATATTGAGTTTCTAAAGGTGTTGATTTTTTTATGCCACTACATTTTGTTGGGACGTGCTGGGACAAGATGATTGATGGATGATATATTCTTTTTGGAAGAAATATGATAATGTGTGATTAAAGTAATCACAAGCATTATCAATCCTATATATTTTGATGTTAGTATTGAATGTTTTTCGTATGATGACAGTAAAAGTGGGGAGAATAATGTTAACATTAGATATTTGTTTAATCATATCAGTCAAAGTCGTCCAAGTGCAATTATCTAAGAAGGTGACAAATCTTGTTGCTTCAAAAATATTGATGATTTTAGGTTTTCAAATGTTAGACTGAACAATTAGAAAATGAGTATATAATCTAGAATTACTTTTACAAAATATAACACAATGATGTTTAATAATTTCAGAAGTCTCATAATGAAAAATTTTCATATTTATATTTAAAAAAAAGGAAACATATATTGTAGGGGTTTAAAAGAGAGATGCCCTAGCCTATAATGGTGTTCCCAAATGACTTGTGTATTGAGGGTGAAAATAAAGAAGCATGATATGTGGTTTTTATCTTTAAGAAGATATAACCAATCATTTTCTCTAATTTTTCCAATTGTTGTCCCCATAGTGAGATCTTAAAGTATGCAAATTATTAGGAAAAAAATTTACCTCATGATGTGATCATTAGTGATTTTATGGATTGATAGAATATTTACTATAAAATGAAGAATATGTAGTATGTTATTAGTTCTTTGGTCTACAACAGCTATTACAAAATTATCGACTGCTTTTATTTATCTATTGTTGGGGTAAAATTTTTAGGTTTGAAAAAGGTTGGCAAGGTTGGTCATATGGTCAGTGACTCATAAATTGAAGATCCAGATGTGAGAAAAATCATTTAAGGTAATGAAAATACAAGAGTTGGAGGTTATATTATTTTGAGCTAGAGAGCATGGTCCATGTAATTTTTTGAAAGAGTTAAGAAAGTTCCAATATTTGTCAATATCTTTTGGATTAAGCCCTTCTTATTTTATCAGGCAAGCTTGCCCTTTTTGGTGTCATTCTTTATTTCCACTTTAGGCTGGGGCTTTTTATAGAGTTTCAATATCTTTTTCTTTGATGTGTCCCTTTTCTATAATTACGCCATAAACTGTTTAAGGAAGAAGGCTTTTGTTTTTAATTAAGGGAAGAATCTATTGCAATAAAGCCCTTACATTAGGGTTTGGTGGTTGTCATGATATTTCGGAGATTGGAGCATCGAGCATTATCGTTCTTCTTTCATCTTTGAATCGTATTAGAGTAAAAAATCTCATTTTGTGATGGTAGGTTTTTACTGCTTAAGATTTGAACTTGAACTTGGTCGAAGTCATTATTGAGTCCTGCAAGGAACTCAATCATCCTTTCTCTTTCTACAATTTGTTTGAGAATTATTACATTATCGTAGTTTGTCATCTTAAGATATTAGTGATAATCTAGTTCAAGTCAATAAATCTTCATTATGTGAAAGTATCTAATAATAGGAAAAGCTACCTTGTTTGGTTGTAGAAATCATAATTTTGGTCTTGTACATGACGATAACATCATTTACTTTTAAGTATGTCTATTTGTCGGTGTCCTAAATGTTTTTGCATTATAAAGGATTATATATGACTCACTAGTTTTAAGCATCATGGTATTCTACAACTATGTTATGATCATGGAATCTTCTTCATCTTAAAAATTTTGGCTCCAGAGAGGGATTCACAAGATGATAGATTTTTCTCTTTCCTTTCAGAATGGTCTTCACAATATAAGGCCATTTCATGTAATTTCTCACATTTACGTGATATGAGGTTTGTAGTCATATAATGAAGAGTTGGAGAAATCTCGATAAAAGAGGAGGAAAAAAAATGAAAATTGGAAGATGAAAACCCTAACCTCATTCTGAGATGATGTAGAAATGTTTTAAAATTTACTTTGAATTTTTTATTGCTTTATTTTGTATGAAATCTGAAACTATTTATAGACTTTTTAAAAAGGCTTATAGTAGAAATAAATTAAAGCTATTTTCAAAAGAAGAAAGAAATCTCCATGAGGGGTCGACAACTAGAATAGAAGGCACATGATTTGTAATCTAAGGGCAATTAGAGGATCGGTTCAATGGTTGGAACTTTTAATCCATGTGCTCTGTGATCTCTATGAAGATTAGTTGACTTGTGGGTCCCACGATCCTTCAACAAGGTTAATAACATGGATAATGCTGTTGCTTCAAGATTCAATTCAGCAAATAGTGAGATTTGACCCTTAGAGCTGAGAAATTAAGTTATGATACAATAGATGCTATATTAAAATATTTCAGGTATTCCAGTCGATATGTTTTTTGGCACAATGAGTTTCATGGCGCAAGAATTCTTGTTAATATAGCAACAGGATAACTCCTGGTCTTATTCAATAAGCAAGTTTTTAATAAAAGTAAAGTTCCAAATGAGCAAAACCCAACCTATAAAGAGCAATTGTAATAATGAAATATTTATTACCTCCCATATACATCTTCACTTTCCATTTCTTGATTATATTATTTTTACTTGCTATAACTCTTTCAGGCTCCGATTTTGACAAAGTTTCCTGCCAGCTTGTCTGTGACAGCATACTCTTATTTCTTTGGTGCCTCCTTGATGTTGTTATCAGGAATTTTCACAACAACAGATTATTCAGATTGGATATTGACAGAACCTGAAATTATTGCAGTTCTTTATGCGGTGAGTTGTTAATATTTATTTTCTTTTTATTTTTCTTTTTGACTTGATATTCTATTTTTGTTGTAGCTCTTCTTGATCTGGAAATATGATATTAACTTCTTGTTCTCATTTTTACCACTTCTAATGAGTTCAATTCCTTTCTTTAAAATATAGAAAAATGTACTGCAACAAGTTACATTAGCGCTTTCAGCCTTTAGCTATGAAGAGTTCATACTCTTGTGCAAAGCTTCTGTGTCCTCAAGCTTTTTTTCCTCAGAGGAAATGATATATTTTCTTTGTTTTTCTTACGAACACTACTTTCTAGTTTCTCTAAGAGAAAGCTTCATCCAACCTTGGTAGGACTTGGCACTACAGTGAACTCGTGGCATACTTATATTTCCTTCATATGTGTTAGAATTCATAGAATTTGAGAAGGGTAAAAATACCTTCAACTTATTATACAAAATTATCCCTATTTATAGATCTATACAAGATATCTTAATAAAGAAATAAATAACTTCTAATTGATACATAATTGCCTCAATATAATCCTTCCTAATTCAGCTACCCAAATATAGAAGGATATTGGCGTGATCCAGGTGAGCCTTCCACGGATTCTCATCCTGACTGTGGGATCAAATGCCAAGAGATGACTGAAATTTTGACAATATGTTTCCTAGTTTCACACATATCATACACACTTTTATTTTGAAATGGTATTGCACTTGTTTGACAGTTAAGGAAGATCCTTTTCTTCCGTCTAATCAAAAGATTCCTTGATCAACTTGCCCAAAGGCAAGTGCATTGCATGCACGATTACCTGCAACTATTAAATATTTAAATTATTTAATGTGATGCCTCCATAGGAAAAAAAATAAAATAAGGTACCTTAGTAGAGGCTAAACCTTTTTCTTAGTTTTGTTGGTAATTAAAGTAAATTTGAATTAGCCAAAAATATGTGATTTAGCCACCCAACTTGTTTGCTAAATTTTGATGTTTTTTTTCCACCAAACTTTTTGACTGGGTTGTCGATCTTTCGATGACCCAGTTAGGAGAGTAGATGTATTAGATCTGGCCTATGTTTAGAAAGGTAGAGGTACACCTAAAAGGACTTCATTAAATGTATTAGAAATGATCTTTTTTTATTAGATTTAAATGAGAATTCGACTCTTATTAGGAGACAATGAAAAAAGAATTCATTAGCTAACCCCACTGTTGATCTCTATATATATTTCACAATTAAGTGAGAACATTGAGGAAGGAGACTAACATATATGTCGCTTATCAGAGCATCGAAACACCTCGATTGCCGTCAAAATGGCTCAAAACTTTATTCGATCATGAAATAGATCGCACTGATATGCTCAGGACATCGAATTTCCTAAGTGTCATTCGTGCATAACTTAATCGAAAATGATGACTAGCATGACTGTTGGCAAGCGCAACTCTAGTAAAAACTACCGAAATGATTTTCGATCATCAAACCGATTGTGTTGATACAATCAAAGTATCAAATTTACCTAAGAAGAGCCCATCACAGTTGAATTGGGTGAAGGTGGTCGAAATCGACAGGCTACGGATGAAAAATTGTGTGATGTTGCCCAAATATCATCAATTTGTAAAACGAACTTCGTCGTTGTATCTTGAACATTGAAATCATATAAAAATGTTGTAATATTTCCCATGTCATCAAAGGTGTTCAAAATCAGCAAACTACATATGAAATGTTGTGTGGCGTTACACGAACACCACCCATTCGCAAAACAGACTTCACCGTTGTGTCTGAAATGTCAAAATCATATAGAAAAGATTGTAATGCTAACTAGCACGATTATTGGCAAGCGGCCAAGCGCAACGCTATCAAAAACTAGCCGAATGATTTTCAGTTGTCAAACAGTCTGTGTCGATACGATCAGAGTATCAAATTTACTTAAGAGGGACTCCTCCCAGTTAAATTGGGTGAAGGTGGTCGAAATCGACAGGCTATGGATGAAACATTGTGTGACATTGCCCAAATATCATCAATTTGCAAAACGAACTTCGTCGTTATGTTTGGAACATCGAAATCTCATAGAAAATTTTATAATATTGCCCATGTCATCGAAGGTGATCACAATCAGTGAACTGTGGATGAAATTTTGTTCGCCGTTACGGAAACACCACCCATTCATAAAACGAACTTTGTTGTTGTATCTGAAACGTTGAATTCATATAAAAAAGACTGTAATGTAGCTCATGTCATCGTAGGTGATCAAAATCGGCAGACTACTAACAAAATGTTGCCCGATATTACTCAAAGAGAGCTTGTTCGCAAAACAGATTTTGTCGTTGCGTTCAAAACGTCGAAATTACGTAGAAATGATAGTAATATTGCTTGGGTCTCCTTGCAAAAATAATATCCGGTCAAGAATATCAATATGATTTATTCTCAATCCGTCTCCTACTAGTAAGGACGTGACATTGGTCCTCTAATCAGCAGTTTGGTCGAATGGCTCCGTAAAGAACCCGTGGTTTTGCTAGATGACTCCGCATGGTCAACGATTATGACTGCGACCCTCTGACCTAGTTGCTTGGTCAAACGATTCCACTATATTATGGTTACGGTCATAGCCTGTATGCTCCTCAATGGCTTCAAATTCTTGAAATATAAATTAATAGGACATATTCGATAGGGCATAAAGTCATTTGTTAGCTAAGGTGAATTCAAATTTGTCCCCTTAAACAAATATTCACCCCAAGTCTATAAGATTCCCTTGGATAAAGTTGCCATGGCTACCGAGAATGATCTTTCTGTCAGGTTGGGTTGACTACATCCTTTGGCTAAGTAGACCAGGGACCACGATGGCCCGCGTCGAAGGAACCATGAGATCTTGATTGGGCTCATTATCATCCCCCACCATCCACTTTAAGTGCAAGATGGTGCATTTCTAATTTTAAATATTAAATACCAAATAATGTTATTACTATACACCAGATACCATGTATATCTACGTATATGTTTGACGACTAGCCTTAATCAAAAAATTTCTCTCGTTATCAGGAGGGGTGTATCTCTACGCATATGTTTGACGACTAGCCTTAATCGAAATTTTTCTTTTGTTATCGGGAGGGGTAATTAACTATAGGTGCTTGCGCCTCTAGGAAACCTGAATCCAGATTTAAACTCCTCATTAAATGAGGGCGAAATCTTTAGGCAGTGTCTTATTTCAAACGCAATCTGTCTTTTGAAATTTTGCCTTGGAACTTAACTCATTAAAACTCTCCCAAAAGAGGGGATGCCGGAGCGTGAATTTTCGGAGCCCACACCTAGCTCCACATTGAGAGTCACTGCAACTGACAATGGGAAAGAAGGGAATCACATCTTTTGCTTGTCCAAACTGAGAAATAAATGGGGAGTTGATTTGATGCAAAGCAGATGTGAACAAATTGGATGCATCTACTTTGCTAGGAAATGTGGGTTTGAGGTACTTGAAATGCAACAAATGTTTACCATACATGAGCTTTACTTCATTGCAATACCCAAAGGAATCACATTACATGCAAACTCTAACTTTTCACCCATCTTTTGTCAAACCAACCCTATGCATGATTGGCCTATGTGTATGTACATCTATGCGATGTTTGAGGGGGGGGGGTA